TTAAAAAAATAATGATTAAAAAACAAAAAACAAAAAAAGACCAAAATAATAATAATAATAATAATAATAATAATGGTTTAATTATAGAAAACAAAGACTTCATATTTTCCCACCTTCATTCCTTAGTATGTGCCAAATTAGTATATCTTTGGGTTGTATTGTGTTGGAATGTTTGATTTTTGTTGTTTTTTTGAGAAAGGATCTGTCTGCAGGCCCAGCTGGCCTGGACCTTACTATGTAGACCAGGATGGCCTTGATCTCACAGAGATCTGCCTCCTGAGTGCTGGGATTAAAGGCATGAGCTACCATGCTTGGCCCATGTTTGATTTTAATAATTGTTGTCTGAGGGCTGGGCATGGTGGCACAAGCCTGGAATTCCAGCACTGTGGTAGACACAGGAGGATTAGAGTACAGTCATCTTCAGCTACATAGTGAGTTTGAGGCCAGGCTGGGTTACAAAAGACTCTGTCTCAATCTCTCCCACTCCTCAAAATATTGCTAAATTTGAGTTGCCAACTTGAGTTTCAGAGAAAATTGATGACTGAATTTTGGCTTGGGATTTCTGAAATGGCCCTAAACATATTTCTGCTGCTCTGCACTATATATTTATGTCAAACAGCTTTCTTGGCCCTGAGATTATAAAATCAAATTATCGATCAGCTCTGAAGAACACTGAAGATGTTCTGCAACCTTCAGTATCAACTACTCAGCTGGGATTTAGGGATTTACTCAGCTGGCCTGGAACTTGCTATGTAGATAAGGCTGGCCTCAATCTCACAGAGATCTACCTGCCTCTGCCTCCTGAGTGCTGGGATTAAAGGCATGTACCACCTTGTTTAGCTGGGATTTAATCTTTATGTAAAAGTGAACTTGTCTAGCTTATTAGTATGCAAATCTGTTTCTGACTAGTAAATGATAAAATTATATGTATACCAAACATTGTTTTAAAATAAATTTATCAGTGAAAGTTTTATTGGTACACTTATTTTATATTCCTATATACCTTCATCATATAAAAAAGGCGCAGGCAGAATGGACAAGAAGGTAAAGCAGCCCTGTATAAGGCCACCTCCACTGAGATTGACCATTACAGCTTGAAAATCCCCCCAAAAGCCCATGTATAGAAGACTAGGTTACCAGCCTGTGGCACAACTGAAATGGCAGGCAAGCCTTACGGAGGATACTGGAACCCACACCAAAGCAGCAAGGGTCAAGCAACCATAGACTGAAAACTCTAAAAGCACCAGCCAAAGTAAACCAGTCTTCCTTTTAAGCTGATTAGCTAAGGTTTTTAGTTAATGTGTAAAGGAAATTGGTTTAGTAGGAGGTACAAGAGGCTGGATGTCCAAGATCAAGTTGCCACATCTAGTGAAAACTTCATGTCATTATGTGTCATAAGGAGCTGGGGATGTGGCTCAGTTGATAGAATGCTCACCTAGGAGGCCTAAAGCCCTGGGTTGGATCCCCAGCATCACAAAAAACCAGGCATGGTAGCACACACCTGTCATCTCGGGAGGCAGAGGCAGAGAGATCTGAAGTTCCGAATCATCCTCAGCTACACAGTAAATTTGAGATTAGCCTGGGCCACAAGAGGCCTGTATTAAAAACAAACAAATAAGAAAAAACAAAACAAACCAAAACCTTACATCATAAACTTGATGGAAACACAAAGGAGCAGGTAGGAGCAAGTGCAGACACAACGGGAACTGGTCCAGTCCAGCAAGAACCACACCAATCTCTCTTATGACCAGATCTCCTCTTAAAGGGCTCACTGCCTCCTACTCATGCTCTGGGGACCAAACATGAACATGAGATTCAGGCAGGCAAACCATATTAAACAACAGCAGGCAGATGTCCTGTGTGGAGAGCTGCTAACAGCCAGGAAAAGTGCAGTAGCAGGAGGGGCAGCCAGCCAGGAGGTTCAGCCACCCACTCACTGACCTTATGACCTCAGACAAGCAACCACAGCTTCCTTGTCTGTGCAATGAGCATTACCCCACTTGTTAATGGTCTAGCACTGAGGCAAGCACCCACCTAACTATATCTGCTAAGCTGTAGAGCTTATGTTGACAAATACCCCCACTCTGAATGACATATCCTTTTTCCGACAGGAGGTCCTCCTTAAAGCTTACACAGGTCAAGTTCATCTTGCCCCAAACAGATGATAAGTCAGGCCTGGGAGAGCCAACTAGAAAGTACATCACCCTCACAATGGAGCTGCCATTTCTCTATGGCAAAGGAAGTGGGGTCTTGAAATGGGCAATTGGTCTTTGTAAGCCACACGACTTCTCACTCTGGGATTGATAGCATATACCATCAAAACCTCAGGAGAGTGTGGAAGACAGTCACCAGGGCCACTGGGTATAGTTTCTGGTGAGGCAGTGGCCTCAGAAAACTGGACCAGTCACCTTACTGCTTCTGACATCACCACTCACTATCTATGGAAAAGAAATACACAGTGGGAAGAAAACAGCTGACTTAAAATAACTTTAAAGAGGCTAGAGAGATGGCTCAGCAGTTAAGAGTACTGGCTGCTCTTGTAGAAGACCCAGGTTCAAATTCCAGCATCCACATGGCAGCTAAAAACTGTCCACAACTCCAGTTCCAGGGGATCTGGTGCCTTCTTCTGTCCTCTGCAGTCACTGTACAACAGGGTTCACTTACATACATGCAGGCATTAACACTCATACACATAAAATAAAATAAAAATTTTTGCTGCCTTTAATCCTAGCACTCGGGAGGCGGAGGCAGGCAGATCTCTGTAAGTTCACATAGTGAGTTCCAGGCCAGCTGGGGCTACAAGGAGACCCTGTCTCAAAAAGACAAAAAGGAAAAAAAAAAAGAATGAGTTGCTGACACATGCTAAAACACGCTACACACGTGTGAACTCAAAGTACCACACTGGGTAAAAGAAGATGGTCGGAGAGAAGATGTTGGCTGCTTGTATAATTGTACCTCAGAGTCAGAAATGCAGAGAGAGAAAGCTGGTGGGAGGGAATGAGGAGCAGGGGAGGGAACAGTGGGCAGTAATTGCTCATGGGTTTTGGAATTCTTTCTATGCCAATGAGAAAGTTCTAAAATTAGACAGTGATAGTGGCACAACTTTGTGAATTAATAAAAAACCCACTTTAAAAAGGTGAAGTTAGCCAGGCTTGGTGGCGCATACCTTTAGTCCCAGCACTCAGGAGGCAAAGGACTCACAGGCAGATCTCTGTGAGTTCAAGGCCAGCCTGGTCTACAAAGCGAGTTCCAGGATAGCTGGGGCTACAGGGAGACCCTGTCTGAAAAAGACAAAAAAAAAAAAGACAAAAAAAAAAAAAGTCAAAGTTAATGGCATAAAAATATCAGCAAGAATAATGTTCAAGTAACTTTAAGCTGGAAATGAAGCAGGGGTTAGCAATGAATACCTGGAGTAATTCTGGCCTTCTGCCTGCTTTTATAAACAAAGTTTTATCAGGACCTACGCACTCACTGATGCATCATGTATGGCTGCTCTGGAGCAGGGAGGGTTATGCTAAAAAGACATGACAAAGACCTTGTGCCCAGTGGAGCTTGGTCACATTTGCTATATAGTCCTTCACAGAACAAGTTGGCCAACTTCTGGAGTTAGACTAGATCTTAGATTCTGGCTCTGCTACAAGTTAACTATACGCCTTCCCCCTAATTCATCTGCTGTGTACACATGGCCTAGCAAACCCACAAGCCTCACTACTTACCTTCGACATCACATCTTTGGCAAGTATTTTCAACCTGTGTTCTGCACACCCACCTCCCCCTCCACCAGGGTTGTCCCCACCCCCCCCCCCCCCCCACCTCCGGCTCTAGTGCCTCCCACACTTGATTATAATAAACAGCAATGACCTGAAGGTGGCTTTCTCTCATCCACATACTCAAGAACTGAAGCGTTTCTGATTTTTCAGTTTTTCAGATTTGGGAATATTTATATAGACTCTTGTAGAGTCCTTCAGAAAACCTTCAGATTTTGATATATTTCAGATCCCAGATTTTCAGATGAGGGCCACTCACCCCACACACACCTGTGCTTATTCATAGGCGGCACCCCCACTGTCAGAGGTTCTGGGAGGCCTCAGGTACTGAAGGCTTAGTTGTCAGCCATGGTGCCCTTGGGAGGTGGTGAAACTTGTAAGGGATGGAGTCTAGAGGGAAGAAGTTAGGTCACTGGAGGCTTGAAGGGGACTGTCAGGACTCCATCCCTTCTTGTATCTCTCTGCTTACTGGCTGTCATGAGCTGAGCAATCTTCTATGACAAACAGTGCCCATCATGATGCTCTGTCCCTCCACAGGCCTCAAAGCATGGGCTAAACCTCTGAAAGTGAGTCAAAGATTCCCTTTCTTGTTTGTCTCGGTTATTTTGTCAAAGTAATGAAAAGCTAAATGACACACTCTTTACTCCCCTTTCAAGAAATGAGGTTACAGCCCAGACAGTCTGTCTACCACCAGGAAAGGCCACATACAAGAAGCCCAGCCCAGTCAGTCACCTACCATACTAGTCAAGAAGCAAAGGGCAGTACACTGAGCCAGCAGCACCAAGGTGTTTCCTTATCCACACGTCTGGAGGTCTAGACAACTTAGAATGTTAAAACTAGCCCAGAGCTGAGCAAGAAGAAAGGGTTCTGCTGCCCAGTGTGGTCACCTCTATGGGAGCTCTCCCACTTCCATCACTGCCCACTTATCAGCTCCTGGACAGTGGTACCAAGGACCATGTCTGCACAGGCACCAAGTCTGCCTCCAGAGTCAACTAATAATCTGTGCAGAAAGGGTGGGTTGTGAGGCCTGAGCACAAGGAGGGGCTGAGGCTTGATGCCCTCTGGGGAATATAGTCTACCTCAGGGGTGGTTTCTACCTCTTCTACTTCTCCCCTGGCACCAGACCAGCTCTCCCTTCTTGGCTAGAGCAGGAGGTGGACATGACAAGACATAGTTAACAGAAACAGGCTGTGGCCACACTGAGAGGCTCCCAAAGGGCAGGAGTGTACTTACCTTCTGAGTCTAGAGCCTGGATCTTCAGCTCCAGTGGAGAGTCTTCAAGATAGAGCTCACGGGTAGTGGAGACGATTTGAATGCCATGAATGAGGTCGACAATGGCATCACAGCGCAGCACCTGGCCTGTGGCTTCAGAGACAGAAAGGGGTCAGCAATGGGAACAGCTGCTGTTTTACCTCCAGGCCTCCAATTCCAGGAGGCAGAGAATACAGCAATCAACAAGTCAACAGCATAGTGAGCCTGGGTGTCATGGTTGGCTTCGGTTGTCAACTTGACACACCTGGGATTAGGGAACCTCAACTGAGGAATTTCCCTATCAGGCTGGCTTGTGGCCATGTCTGTGAGGCATTTTCTCGTCTGTTGAGTGATGTGGGAGGGCCCAGCCCACTGTGGGCTGTTACTCCTCAGCAGGTGATTCTGGGTTACATAAGAAAGCAAGCTGCACACAGGGAAGAGAAGCAAGCCAGTAAGCAGTGTTTCTCTGTCTAAACAATTAAATGAAGATCAGAAAACACTGAATGCTTGACATAAGGAAGAACTATAAGACAACCTGGTGCTAGGTGTGGTGGCACATGCCTTTAATTCCAGCACTCCGGAGGCAGAGGCAGGCGGATCTCTGTGAGTTCAAGGCCAGCCTGATCTATATAGTGAGTTCCAGGCCAGCTGGGGCTATAGGGAGACCCTGTCTCAAAATAAATATATATAAAACCTTCTGCCAAGAACAATATTCAGCACCAGGTGTTGTGGCACATACATTTAATCCTCAGGAGGCAGAGTCAGGAGGATCTCTAAGTTCAAAGTCAACCTGGTCTATATAGCAAGGAACTTGCTACAAAGTAAGATCCTGTTTCAAAAAAAAGAGAGAGAGAGAAAGAAAATATTCAGCATTAAAAAAAAAAATTCCATAGCAGGGACTGAGGGTATAGCTTAGTAACATGGCACTTCCTCTGCATGTACAAGGCCCTGGGTTTAACCCCAGCAATTGCAAAAAAACAAACAAATAAATAAATAAATAATAATAACAATAATAAAGGGCTGGAGAAATGGCTCAGTGGTTAAGAGCATTTGCTACTCTTGCAGAGGACCTGAGTTCAGTTCCCAGCACACACATCAGGCGGCTCACAATCACCTGGAACTGCAGCTCCAGGGCATCCTCTGGCCTCCACAGGCACCCACACTGATGTGCAATACCCACATATACATAATTCAAAGTAAAAACATATTTAAAAATAATAATAAAGTAAAAAGGAAACCATCACATCACAATGGAGCAAAGCATAACAGAACTTTAAGTGGCTTTCTATGTGCAATAAGCCCTTGGTATCTGTGATTCACAACTGTACCTTCCACCAACCACAGACTGAAAATGTTCAGGAAGAAATTCTCTGTATCCTGAACAAGCACATCTCCCCCTATCTTGCAGTACAGCTATCTGTGCAGCACCTGCATTGTACAGAGCACTGTATGCTGTCTAGAGATGGTACAGGAAGACACGCACAGGTGCTCAGCAAACATTGCTTATATAAGGGGCTTGGGAATCAAGGATTCTAGTATCTCAGGGTACTAGAACCTCTCCACCATGAATATTGAGGGATGACTGTATTCCACATCCACAATATGATCAATTAAATATGGGGAAGGAGGAGTGATTCCCTACACTAATTCAACTTTTTTCATTTTGATTTGACACCAATGAAGAGAGTACCTGGGGCAACAAATACTAATTTGTAACTTTAGAAAGCCAGCTTCCAGCCTTTAGCCCAGCACTCTTTAATCCCAGCACTCAGGGGGCAGAGGCAGGGGATCTCTCTGAATTCAAGGCCAACCTGGTCTACATAGTGAGTTCCAAATCAGCTGGGGCTACAGAGAGACCCTGTCTCAAAAAGACCGAGAGAGGAGAGAGAGAGAGAGAGAGAGAGAGAGAGAGAGAGAGAGAGAGAGAGAGAGGGAGGGAGGGAGGGAGGGAGGAAGGAAGGAAGGAAGGAAGGAAAACAAGAAAGAAAGCCAGCTTTCACATGGCACTCAAAGCCCTTACTGATGTCCTCTGCAAAGATGATGCTGGTCAGGCGGGCAGGCTGGGTCAGGCGGGCCTGCACCACTGCCTTCTGGGAGCACTGGTGTTCGTCAGAGCCCAACGGCTCAATGCTGGCTACCTCTGGCCGGGTAGATGACCTGCAGTGAGAAATGGAGGGATCACTCTCTGGAGCCAAAATATAAGGCACAGCCAGGCCCAGAAGCCAAAACTGTGGCTTCCATCTGGGACTCTGCTGGATTCAAACACAGATCAGAGGTGAGACTCCTCACACATCAGCCTGAAAAAAAACCCAGGAGGAATGGAGCCCAGCCAAGGCCCCCCACAGTCAGACCTCTGCAACCCAACTGCATGAGTCACTGCACATGAAATGCCATTAGGCAAATCAAACCAGAAAGCTGACACCTGGAAACCGTCTTGACATTCAACAGTCACTGCCCATGTCATAGACACACAGGTCTAAGAGTCCTCTTATCTGTAGGGGGCTCCTCCCAAGACCCCAAAGGATGCCTGTGTCTATTCCTTTCTCAAACACATACCCTTACAATGAAGTTTAATTCATACATTAGGCACAGGAAGAAGAGTAACAACATCACATAATAATAGAACAGTTGTAACAATGCCCTGTAATGGAAGTTATTTAAAACTCATCAATTAAAATGTTTCTGGAATTTTCCACATAATATTTTTAGACTTTGAGTACTTCTGTAATTCTCCATCAGGAGGAAAGAAGCTTATGGCATCCCATAAAGTGAGAGATGATGTGACAAGCAAACACTGGCATCTTGGCTCACTGTAGCCCAGGCTGGACACACAACACTTACCCAGATGTTACCCTCTGTCCTGGATGGCTTCTACAAGCCCTAGAGTCCACAGAATAGGACAACCATCAGGGTTCCCTACACATTCGGAACGGCATCATAGCCACATCAGGAAAAAGGGAGATAAGCAAATGACCAATTTCTGTTCTAGCCTGTTTCTCCATTGCTGTGACAAAATACTCTGACCAATACCAACTTGGGGAGGAAAGGGTTTATTTGTCTTACATCTCCCGGGTCACACAGTTCATCTCTGAGGGAGCCCAAGGAGGAACTCGGGGCAGGAAGCTGAAGGTAGGAGCTGGAGCACAGGCCATGGAGGAACACTGCTTACTAGGTTGCTCCCCTGGCTCATGCTCAACCCGCCTTCTTTCACAACACAGGCCCATCTGCCCAGGGGTGGCACCACCCACAGTGGACTGGGTCCTCCCACATCACTCAATAATCAAGAAGATGTCCTACAGACATGGCCACAGGCCAGTCCAATGGAGGCAATTCACCAATTGAGGTTCCCTCAACCCAGGTGTGACACTAAAGCTATCCAGCACAATTGACCCCTTGTCAACTTGACACACAAACACAACACTATTAAACCATAACCTTTCCACTTCTTGTCCCCAAGATATGACATTAACATTAATATCAAAACATTAGACAGTACAACCTTAAAAGCCCATTGCGTTGGGTAGGCGTGTCCTCTGAGAGAACTAGCACTGAACCCCAAGAGACTCTGTAGGCAGAGGGGGAGATAGTCACCCCTCCTACCCTATCAGTCAGCTTCAATAACATGAGGGGGATGGTCTAAGGACAGACGCTGAGGAAGCCAGGAAACAGCAAGTAGTTGCCATCTTTGAGTAGTCACCATCTTCATGGAGCACTGAAGGCAGCGGATCTCAAAAGCTCAGCCAAAATGTAAGGGGAAAGGGCCCTCGGGCATCCATGCCTTTGCCTGAGGACAGCATGGGCCTGGGAAGCAAGAGAGTGTATACTTGGGTCTCCCAGGAGAGAATTGGCGTTACAGTCCCACAGTCCTTAAAAAAATATTCAAACTTAGAAGTTCACAGTCTCTTTAGTCTCTTAACTGTGGGCTCCTGTAAAATCCAAAACAACTACTGTCTTATTTCAAAGAAAAGATTGGGCACACCCAAGCAAAAACCTAACTCCAGCAACATAGCTCAAGGCTGGTGTGATGGCTAATCCTGGGTGTCAATTTGACTGGATCTGGAATTAACTGAAATGAGAGAGATCTTCTTAATTGGATCACCTGAAGCCAGAAGACACACCCTAAATGTGGGTGTTACCTTCTGATGGCAGCCCGTATAAAAGGCCATGGCAGAGGAGAATGTTTTTTGCTTTTTGCTGCTTGCCTTCTCTCTCGCTGGTGAGTTGTCTTGCTGCTGTAGACTGAAGACTAGGCGATCTTTTGGAATTCGTCAGACCTTCAGTGACAGATTGGGACTACTGAGACATCCAGCCTCGTGAACTACAGAGTCTCGGCCTCTCCAGTGTGGTGCAGCCATTGTTGGACTACTCGGACTCTATCTTGTGAGCTAAGCTGATAAATCCCTATACATATATTCATTCTACAGGTTCTGTTTCTTTGGAAAACCCTGACTAATACAGCTGGGCATCTGGGATTCACTCACAATCTTCTGGGCTCCAAAGGGTTTTGGCAGCTCCACTGCTCTGAATGCCATCCACAGCTCACACTGCTCGTCTCACAGACCCAGGCCAGCTCCATTCCACACCTGCTGCTGCCCTTGGTGGCTGTCCTATGGTCCTCGCATCTCCAAAAAGCTGGGGTCTCCAATGCAACTGAGGCTGCACCCTTACCAATGGCCTCTTCTGGACTCTTGGGGCACAACAACTCAGATTCTCTCCATGACCCCTTCAGTACTGGGGTCTTCACTGCAACTGAAGCTACACTTTCACTAATAGCCTTTCCTGGCCTCTCAGGGTGCCAAGCTTCAGCTGCTCTCTGTGACCCCTTCACACTTTCAATACAAGAACCATGGCAGGAGACTCTTACACATTACCAAGTTCTGTTTCCAGCTTGAGATGGAGGCTCAGGCCCCCTCTGGACCATAGCTTTTGTACTGACCCTGAGGAGATACTTCCCAGAAGATTCTACCATAGTGATGCTGGTCTCTTGTTACTTATAGCTGATTTTTCAGCCCCAGCTAACCAGCATGAACTGTCCTAGTAAAGCAAAGGTTTTGGTCTCTTCTTTTTTTTCTTTTTCTTTTTCTTTTTTTTTTTTTTTGTTTTTTTGAGGCAGGGTCTCCCTGTAGCCCCAGCTGTCCTGGAACTCACTATGTGACCAGGCTGGCCTCAAACTCACAAAGAGCTGCCTGCCACTGCCTCCCAAGTCCTGGGATTAAAGGCATGCACCACCATGCCCTTCTGGTCTCTTCTTAATCCCAGCTGATTTTTCAGCCCTAGCCCACAGATTCTCAATTCAAAATATCACACAAACAGCCCTGATAGTCTCTGCTTCCCTTTGAAGCTTCACAAGCCATGCCTCCACCATCTACAACTCTTCCAGCATAACTATTCCAAGCTCCACAGCAACAAATTCTAAGCACTCAATGGCTTTTCCAGACCAAAGTTTCAAATGCTTCCACAATCCTCCCAAAAACACCAAGATCAGGTCTGTCACAGCAATACACCACTCTCTGGTAACCCATGTCTTGGAACCTTCACCACAAGGTGTTTTTCTTAGAGATTCTCAGAGTCCTGAGAGCATGCCAATAGGTCCTTTCACTTTCAGAGTTGTTTCCTTTGCACCTCTG